TCCTTCCTTCCTTCCTTCCTTCCTTCCTTCCTTCCTTCCTTCCTTCCATCTTCCTTTCTTGACCAGGCTGGCCTCAAACTCACAGAGATCCCCTGCCTTTGCCTCCCTGAGTGCTGGGATTACAGATGTGTGCCACCATGCTCGGCTCTTTGTTTTCTTTTGTTATGAGATAGGGTCTCAATATGTAACTCTGGCTGTCCTGTGACTAGTTCTGTAGATCAGGCTGGCCTCAAACTCAAAGAGATCTGCCTGTCTCTGCCACCAGAGTGCTGGGCATTCAATTAAAGGCCTGTACAGCCACTACCCAGCTTCCAGTACCTTTCTACAAGGAAAGGTATTGTCAGCTGCTATCCAAAGTTTCCATTGCTATTTCCTTGGCCATGCAGTATCTGGCAGGAAAGGTCATCTTACCCAGCCCCCATCCTCCAACTTAGCACAGTTCAGAATATGTGGCAGAAACCCAGTAAACATAGCTGACTGGGTGAATGGCAAACAGAGCCTAGGGTACCTGTAAGTGGGGATGGAGTGGGCAGAGGTAGATGAAGGCTTCAGTATGACAAAGAGAAGTGCTTCCCAGATCAGACTGGACAGATGGGGAGAAAGTCAGGAATACTTTCCTGGCATAGGGCATGGGGTTTGCAGGAGCCTGTGCAGGGAGAAAGATGTAGGTAATGCCAGGAGGAGTTATGTTGACCTGAGTAGGGGTCCAGAATGGAAATCTCCATATTCTCTATCCTTACATTTGCCTTCCTAATTTCACTTAAGGGCCTGGAGGGGTCTATGGCCCAGAGGGGCCTAATTATTCTCTTTGCCATTTCAACCCTGGGCTCCCGAAGCTTCTTTTAAAGGTTTATAATAGGCAATGCTAATGCCATTATTAATATTTAATGGTAATGATGCTAATAATGCCTGCATTTATGTGGCCTCTCCACGAGCTCAAAGAACCCTGAGTTCTTTCTTTTTTTGAAGCAATTTGGCTCTTATAGACAGTGGGAGGGTAGAGGACAGTGATAAGGCAGGGGGGAGGGATCAATGTACCAGGAAGCTAGAGCCAGCAAAGTTCAATGACTAGGCCAGGGTTGCAGAGCAGCAGGTTGAGGCTGGGCTAGGATTGGTGGTGGTGTGCCCTTCCTGCTGAGTTTGGCCCTGCATTGAGATCTGATGAGGACAGGCAACTTTTGGTTCTGGCAAGACACATACCTTCTGGGACAGGAACAGGTTTAGGGGCAGAGGTGATCCTGAAGTAGCCAGGTAGCCTTTGATTTTTTTTAATGCCTTTATTATCTATATTAATTATATGTAGCCGTGGTTTCATTATGACATTTTCATACATGTACATA